GAAGACATGATCAGGCCTGGCCAAAAGAGAGATAAGTTTGACGAAGTAAAGACCATGGTTGAAGGTGCTGTCCAACGCTTAAGCTATGTTCAAGCAGATGTAACCACTATAAAAACCGTTCTTGAGAATGAGGTTAAGGCCAGAAAGAGGTGCAGGAAGCTCGTTGTCATAGGGTTGGCTGTATTTCTGTGCTTTGCAACAAATATGTATTCAAGCTATCATAGTTGAATTGTCTTGGATGTAATGGTATCTATGTTTGAAAAAGTTCACCACCAGTTTATTGTCATAGAAAGTGGAATGTAGTGTCATATGGTATCTATGTTTGAACAAGTTTTCCAAACGTTTTCATCTTAGGTACTTTTGTATTATCAAGAATCTAGCTTCCTGAAATGTATTCATTGTGTATGTTGTGTGGCATTTCATATACCTGTATACACTTAGAATATGTGTACTATTAAAACTTCAAAATATACACTTAAAACCACAAAGATAAGATCATCTATTATTTCATATACAACTGACATTCAAGTATGGACAATAAGGTGTAGTACACCCATGAAATTCAAGAGCAACTGACATATATTACTGCCAATACTTCAAAAGCAATATTTCTTCAGCAATAATGCATAGTATGATAGTACCCGTTGAACTACAATAATGCAATAAATGACCCCATCAATGGTCATCACAAAAAAAGGTAGTTTGAACCTCTGCCATACATCCATACACCAAAAGCAATCCCAATACAGTACATTATCATTACATCCACCTAACGACAAAAAACTACTTCCATAAATGTTCATTAAAGCAATCCCTCCTCTTGTTCTCCAATCACTGTCTCTCCAGGCTGGCCAGGCTGCATATAACATACAAAGCAAAATGAGAAAACATCATTGCCACAAATTGAAATGACTTAAACATACAAGTCAGATGTGAACTTACTTCCAGAATGGTTTCACCAGTAGCTTCATCGACATACACACCAAACCCTGATTGCCTTCTGCTTGTATTGCCCCTCTTCCCTCTTCCTCCTCTTGGGCGTCTGCCTCTTGCACTTGGAGTCACTGTACCTGCAGTAGTAGAACATGATTTCTTGTTGTGGCCTTCTCCTCCGCACAATGAGCAAGTCATGATGCGCCCTTTTCTTGAGAGTTGTGAAGAACTGGGTGGACGTGCTTCACTTTGTTCCCTTACACGCTTCTTTTTGGGTCTTCCACTCATCTTCTTTGGCAAAGGAGGTAAGATCTCTTCATGCTGGGTTCTAGGCCATAACAGCTCCCCATTGATAGGATGCAATGTGTAGGAGTAAGTTTTATGGTACATCTCCTTACTGTAACAGTTGTCAACGTATGCTTCTGCCTCCTCCCCTTTGTCATAGATGGCACAAATGGCATGGGCACAAGGGATACCACTGAGATCCCACCTTCTACAAGAACATGATCTCTTCTTAAGACTGACTTTGAATTGCCCTCTTCCTTTCTTGATTTCATATCCATCATCACCATTGAAATCCACATTACATCCTTGACTTGTTAGAATATTAGTATTCAGCTTCTTCATTATTATTGGACCAAATGAACCTGCATAAGATTTGGAAAACAAAAATGCTTAATAAGATTTGATAATCAAATACAATAATCAATAGTACATATTACTGTTTTTAGAAGTGTGTAACCAGACCTGGCCATTTCAGAACATATTTTCTCTTCTTGGCTATCCTTTTCATTGTTGCAACACGAATGTCCTCAAGCATTGGGATCAAAGGCTTGGATCTTGCTTTTAGAAGTGTGCTATTGAAGGCCTCAGACAGGTTGTTCTCAACTGTGTCACACTTCACTGCATCCCTAAAGAAAGCTTTACACCATAACTTGAATGGGTGTTTGCGTAAGTCAATACCTGCTTGAGCATCAGCCTTATCTAGCTCAGCTAAATTAGCTTCCAACTGAGGTTCACATGTTGACTTCGCACACTGCCAAAACAACTTCTTTAGATTCATCCCTCGATGTGCTTTGCTCCAATTACCATGAATATGGCGTGCACAGTTCCTGTGCTCAGAGTTAGGGAAGACTCTGGTAATTGCATTAGCAAGGCCCTACAAAAAAAATATTAACCAAGTCATATCATATACATTAATGGACAACATGTAAGCAGTTATGAAGATACTTAACCTTCTGTTGATCACTGATGAAGGTCCACTCATCTGGGGCATTAACATCCAAGTCATTATGCAGCAACTCCAAGAACCAAGTCCAAGATGAGGTATTTTCTATCTCAACCACAGCCCATGCGATTGGATACATTTGGTTATTTGCATCTCTACCTACAGCACTCAATATCTCTCCCTTCATTTGTCCTTTTAAAAAACATCCATCTACACCAATGATCTTCCTACACCCTTCTATAAAACCCTTCTTCACTGGTCCAAAGCAGACATAAATGCGTTGGAATACACTTGGTTGTTCTGGGACAACTCTCACAGTTTTGATGACAACTGTACTATTAGGTATTGACTGAAGGCATTCCTCTGCATAGTTCCTGATCTTTTTGAATTGGTCTTTGAAAGCAGTTTGGTTTTTCTCTTCAATAGCTTTCAAAGCTCTGCTGGCCATGCTTTCAGACACATTGAGTTTATACTCAGCCTTGATAAGATTTTTCAATTCCACTGCACCCATTGATGGATTCTCAACCACTTTCTCCTCATACATGTCAGCTACCCATTTGGTGCACACTATTCTCAGCTTATACCTCAGATTGCAGCTATGTCCTCCTTTGAAAACTTTGACCTGAAAACACTTCAATCTCTCCACCCATGAAGCTGTTAAAGAAAAAGGGCAAGTTTTCCCACATTTCACTCTCACTCTCTCAGGCTCATTTTTGTTGAAATACAAATCTCTTTTTTCAAACACAGCATATTTAATGACTGCCTTCTTAAATTGCTTTCCATCTTCAAACAACATGCCAACATCAAAACTTGGGGGCTCTGATTCAGGATTAAATGAAGCATACCTGTTGTCTGACCTTTTACACCTCCCAGAATCATCCTCATCCTCAACCTCAGACATGTAGCTGCGGGGATTAGATGAATCATACTCTGTACTGTTCTCCTCATTCTCACTATCATTACACGTGTTTGCCCCCTGTTGTGTAGGTATGTGTTCAGAGCCCAATATATCTTCATTGACCTCATCCTCATCTCTCTCTTGATGGTCAGTTGATGCAGCTTTTTCTGTCTCATATTCTTCTTCCATCCATGACTCATCTGCCTCAGAGTCTTCTGACATCCATGATTCATGTGTCTGACCTTCATCTGCCTTCCATGATTCATCTGAACTGACATTGGACTCCTCATCTTCAACAACAACATCTTCATGAATATGGGCACCTGTTTGTTGATGTTCACTTGCTCCAGGCTCATCTTCAGGAACATGGTCTTTGTTTGTACCATCAATTGGGGGCTCCACTCTAGTCACATCAACTTCAGGTTGAGATGCCTCAGGTGCAGGCAGAAGTTCAACCAATTCCACCTCATCTAAGCCATGTTCCACAAATATGTCACACTGTCCACAACTAGTAGCCTGCTCTATGAGATGAAGGGTTGACTTATCATCAGACAACTGTCTTAAAGATTTCATACTCTGCCTTGGTTTTTTGTAATACAGAGCCTTAATGTTACCATAACTACCCGTTTTTAGGCACTTCATTAAATGAGGATAGCAAATCAAATCTGGGTCAATTGGTAAGACATCAACTTCACCACCTACGTATATTATCTCAGGAATATACTTAAAATTTCCTCCATGGTGAATGATTAGTTCAACCTTGTCAAACATGCTGTACATATGAAAATATTGAAATCAGATTTGGGAATGTGTAAATTTTTATTAGATAAAGAACAATGACCCAAACGAACGCTTCTAAAGTGCAAATGACTATCGCTTCACGTAATAATATCATCACAATAGCAACATTCATGCGACAAATACGAACACAAATCACCAACCTCATGTAAATACGGTGGACTTACAACTATAAACTAACCTGGCGTTTGTCTTCTTCACGTGGACGGTGAGAAGTGGATGACCAGCGTCGAGGAGTGCTATGTTGCTTATCTTCTCGCAGAGCTTCGAATTAAGGTCGTCAATGAAGGTTAGGGCACGGTGTGGATAGTGGAAGTAAAATGATTTAGGTGAGTCAGCACTGAAAGACCGATAGGCAAAGTCCACGTCAGCGCCAGGAAGGCAAGCAACGGGCAAACCGGGAACCAACCGGTAATGTAGACCTAATTGATTGATTTTGGAGACTTCGCGGATTCAATTGAAGGTTATCAAAGTACAAGGGCTCAATTGCGGTTTCGCCCATAGTACGAGGGTGTAATTGACAGTTTTCCCTAGAATTTTCAAACATTTTTAGTCTTATTTCGGGTTATATTCTCTTATTATAATCATAAATATATAATTATTTGTTGGGAAAGGAGGAAAATAAGCTCATGTACTAACCAAAAAGGTCAAATAAGCCCTTATATAGGAGGCTCTGTCCGGTCGTCGCCATTTGGGGCAGTTCCCGGTGGAATTTTTTGATGAATTTTTTTGAAAATCTTATTCATTAAGTCTGGTTTACTCATACCAAATTTCAGCTAACAATTCAATGGGGAAGTCATTCAAATAAATTCTTGAAGATAACTGCGCTTTTAACTTCGCGGTTATCTTCAAGAATTCATTTGAATGTCTTCCCGATTGAAGTTTTAGCTGAAATTTGGTATGAGTAAACTAGGCTTAATGAATAATATGCTCAAAAAATTTCATCAAAAATTTCCCCCGAGAACCGCCACAAATGACAACGGCTGAACATAGCTTCTTATATAAGGGTTTATTTGATGTTTTTTTGTTAGTACGTGGGCTTATTCACCTCTTTTCTCTTATTTGTTTTTTTAGAACGGAAGAAAAAAAAGGTTTATTGGGGCTATATATCAATGTTTTTTTAATTCAATTGAATTAAATTGAAGGTAACCCAAAAAAAAAACTTTAAGTAACCAAAAAAAATTGAAGATCGCAACTCCACGGTCCACAGTTCAAATAAGAATTCTCAGACATTTCCGAGAGATGGGGGAGGAAGGGATAAGCAACAAGCAGGTTATACTGAAAGACTATGTCGCCGCCGGATATCCAAAAGAGTCCGACATGGAACTACGAACCGTCACTCTGCCGCACCTAAAGGTTCCCCAAGGTTCAAACGCCTTGCTGGTCAAGAATCTCTATCTTTCCTGCGATCCCTACATGCGCAATCGCATGAGCAAATCCCAGGGAAGCTATGTCGAGTCCTTCACTCCTGGATCGGTACGTAGATAATGAACAAATCGCCTTACTCTGTTTGATTAAACCTCATTTTCCAATTGCAAACATCTACTTTTCCTTAAATTGACTACCATCTTATTTGTTCTAGCCAATTGTGGGATATGGAGTGGCAAGAGTGGTGGATTCCGATAATTCCAATTTCAAGGAAGGTGACTTAGTTTGGGGATTCACTGGGTGGGAAGAGTACAGCTTTATCACTGCTACACAGTCTCTCTTCAAGATTGAACATACTGATGTCCCTCTTTCTTACTACACTGGACTACTTGGTATTTCAATTTTTGTATATGTTCTTCACTCTTCGTGTATCTAAAAATTATATCAAATTATTAATTACTTCAGGGTGAGTGGTTTTAATTAATTATTTAACTAACTAAACTATCTGCCAAAAAAACATGTATAGGTATGCCAGGTATGACTGCTTATGCAGGATTTTATGAGGTTTGCTCTCCCAAAAAAGGGGACACAGTGTATGTTTCAGCTGCATCGGGTGCTGTTGGTCAGCTCGTTGGCCAATTTGCCAAGCTCTTGGGTTGCTACGTTGTTGGTAGTGCGGGTACCAAAGAAAAGGTTTGTTTATTCCTTTCATCATCATTTTGTAATGCCATTTGTAGTTGCCTTTAAATTTTAGAAGATAGTTAGTTGTGTTTTCTTTCTATTGCAGCAGTGTATGCTGTATAGTTAACCATTTATCTTTCTTCTTAGAAGTAGTGTCCTGTCATGTCTGTTCTTGAACCAGATGAAACCTTGGTGAATTTGTACAGAGTTCTTTGAGGAACTTCTATCATTGATTTTGATTATGACATGTCAGCTTGTATATGTTGCATAAGACATATTTCTTCATTTGAGAAGATAATTTAAGATGAGTTTCTATGAAGGTAGATGGGCCAATGGGGAAACAAAAAAAATTGTATGCAAGTTTTTTTGTGTGGAAGTGACCTAATTACCAAAGTTCATCTTTACTTTTTATCCTCAACATTCATTTTTCTACTTTGGTCCTACAAGTCTATGACTGTAGATTTTTTCGATCATGTCCCTAAGGCCACTTTTGCCGACCCCAAATTCTTTTAGGATTAAGGGTTGGATGTTGTTGTTGTTGTTGTGTCCCTAAGGCCACTTTTCTAGCAAAAATGTACCAGAAATTGTATGGAAATTAGCTAAAAAAGCTTATCTGAAGGACGTCAAGTCATGAGACTAAATGTGGAAAATTAAAATCGAAGACCATGAGAAGGAATGACCTGGTACTGTGGGAACAAAAAGTGGAATTAATTCTGCTAAAAATTATTTCTGTGCATGAATTATTTTTCTTGTCCACCTTTGATCCAAAATTTTTGAGGTACTGCTACGCCATTGGAGAGGAGTTTCATGCATGGGGATGGATGGATGTTCGAGTAGCATTTTACTTTCCATGCAAATTAATAGAAAATATGAAGTCTTGGATAGGATGGTGTTACACTGACATTGTTTCTTTTTCAAAGCTTAACTTTGATCCTTCCCCTTTTTTTACTTTACCGGAATGGAAAAAATATCATGTGAATCTTGCCATTATAACAAAGTTTGATCACATTTTCCATTACCTTCCCTTGTATGTTATGTTCAATAAAAGGTGGACCTGTTGAAGAACAAATTTGGGTTTGATGAGGCTTTCAACTACAAAGAGGAGCAAGACTTGGTTGCTGCTTTGAAAAGGTTGGGATAGAAGATCCCATTCAAGTGAATCATTCCTTATCTAGAACAGTTATTCTTATAACTCCGTATTTATTACCTTGTTCTTTTTTTCATGTTTACCAGATTCTTCCCCAATGGAATTGACATTTACTTCGAGAATGTTGGGGGGAAGATGCTAGATGCAGTGCTTCTTAACATGAACCTCCATGGGCGGATTGCTGTGTGTGGGATGATATCACAATACAATCTTGAAAAGCCTGAAGGTGTTAACAACTTATTCTGTCTTATTAGTAAACGAATCCGCATGCAAGGGTTTCTGGTGTTTGATTACTACCACCTCTATCCCAAATTTCTTGAGATGATCCTGCCATGCATAAAGGAAGGGAAGGTCACTTATGTGGAGGACGTTGCCAAGGGACTTGAAAGTGCTCCGGCTGCTTTGGTTGGCCTTTTCTCTGGTCGGAATGTTGGGAAGCAGTTGGTTGCCATTACCCACGAATAGTTATCGTTACTGCTATGAATGTGTGTATTTTCCATGCCTAACTTCCCTATGAACACATGCTACTTTACTAAATTAATTAACCTCACTAATAAATGAAGCATGTGTTTTGCTATTATAGATTATTATTATTTGGGGGTGCTTTGGAAATTAGAACTTCATCAGTTCATGGTCCAGCTCTGAAACCTATTCCCCAAAAAGGAGATACGTAGTACTGTATAATCTTATTAAAAGAGTATCAATTTTTCAGTTCCATTTTCCTCAAAAACTTCGTGTTTTTAATCAGAACTTTCCCATCCTCCTTCCAATTCCGTCCATTTCAATTTTCAAGAACAAAGTCATATAAGATGAGGATCTCATCAATTAGTTTCTCCTGGTCTCATAATCCTGTTGATATGATTCTGTTGACCTCATCCATTCTGAGCTGAGTTAAATCATTGTAATCTAGCATGATAGATTTCCAGGATTATTTAACTCAGTATGTTGCTTTTGAATTTGCATTAATAAAGTCCAACGTCGACTAGCGGTGTTGGCAGCTAGTGTGGATGGGGGTAACGGGGTGAACAAGTTTTTTTTTAAAGAAAAGCTAGCTTATACTCCCTCCGATCCTTATTAAACTTTACACTTTGACTTCACATATATTAAGGAAATAAATTTAACTTTACTGTAGAGTACACCGTTTGACACTGTTTAATACTGTTTAGCACTGTGTGGCAATGTTTTGCATTGTTTGGTGTAGATTTGTTTGCCAAATAAGGCAAATAAGGAAGTGTAAAGTTTAATATGGGACGACCCAAAAAGGAAAGTGTAAAGTTAATTAAGGACCGGAGGGAGTATTATAAATATCAATGAATCAAACATCTCCATGACCTCAATAAACCAAGCCTTTCTATGAGACTCTGTGTAATCAAACGACTTTCTTACTCTCTGATTAGATACAGAATAGATCACCCAAATGGCCAAATATGAGCGTGACCAATCGCTAACCATGTGAGAGCTTCGAAACTTTTATCGGCCACACAAGACTTATCGCTTCCACCTAAACAAACATCACAGAAAATAGTCCCAAAACTAAAACACCTACCACTATTGTCCACACTAATGACATACTCCTAGTAAAAGTTCATAAAAAAAATTAAATAAAAGCAATAAAAATAGTTTGTCTTGCAATCTCGCCTCAGAATTGGAATCCATGATGGAGGTTCAGGAGCGGGCGATCATGTCTCTTTCCAACCACAGTGCCACCACATCTTTATCATAGACATGATCTCGTTAAAAGCCAACATACGATCCCCTTTCCGTTTTCTCCGACGTAATTGTGCACATCAGGGATAGGTTTGTGCTAGATGTAACCGGCACCATAGATTCCACCACCAAATGCTCATCCTCCTCTATTTCCATTTGTCTTTACACCTAGTTGTAGGTTTCTGCCATCATTAGAGTTCTCCACTGATTTATTTTTTATTTTAAATATTTTTAAATATTATTTAGTTTTATTAAACTAAGAAACTTTTGTAAAGAAAATATCACAAAAATTAGCAATAAAAAATAAAAAAACAATTAAAGAAATCAAACACTTTTACATTTAAGATCTTAGATTGATAGTTTTAAATCATTAGAATTTTTTTAAAATCATTAGGACTTTAGATCGACTACTATTTGCATCATTTGCAATAGTCAAAGACTCATTATTTTTTGGCTTGAAAATATGATGGAATAAGGCAAAATGGCTCACTAAATTGTCTGCACTTCTTTGCAATGAAACAACAATCAGATCATGCAATTTTTGACGTGATTTTCACTATGGGTCATCCGAAAATAGTCTATCTATGCTTTAGTATAAGGGTAAGACTGCATACATCCAACCGCCATTTTCCCACCGTAGGAGAGAACCTTTGCGTCAGCTTTAGGAGGACTTTAGATCGACAGCTTACATCTACAAAATCCTTGATTGATAATTCGTACGTAGTATATCTTTGAGGCAGTGGATTGTTAATAACAAACTTCTATGTCAATTAGACAAAGTACACAAAAACCCATGGTTTTATTTCATCCATATAAAAATGAATAATAATAATAATAATAATAATAATAATAATAATAATAATATACGTAGTATTAGTCAATGTTCTAAAAGGCGCTAGACGCTAGTCGAGCGCCAGCCCAGCACCTAGCACCTAGGCGGCTAGGCGGACGTCTAGGCAGAGACTAGTCGGAGACATAGAAATTGAATTTTTATCTATATTTTTGCATAAATATGATAAGTAATATTGTATTTTTGTGTGAATAATATACACACACATTAACAAACATGAATGATAGATCACATTTAATCATATGTTGTATATGCTAACTAATCATTAACTTCATTATGTTATAAGTATAAATAATGATAGAATTTAGGTATATATACAAATATATATAGTTTTATCTTAATTTACAACTTCATTTCTTTATATCCTTGGCTAAAGTTAAAGTACGTATATCACTTAGAAAATTAAAATTAAAAAGTAAAGTAATGTTCGGCGAATTTAGACGACCTAGGAAGCCGATTTGGCGCTCTAGGCGGACAACTAGGCGCTATAGACGGCCGACTAAATCACATTGACGACAAACCAATTAGTCGGAGCGTCTAGACGAAAATCGGGGCGCCCGGCCACCGTCTAGCGCCTAGGCGGGGATTAATCGGGCGCCTAGAACGATTTTTTGAAAAGAGGTATTAGTTATAAAACATGATGAGGAAACTTCCTTAAAATTCCAATTCCTTCTTGTTTTAAGTAAAGAGGAAACTCCTACAAAACTCATTCTTGCCACCCCCCTTCAGTTCAATGAAGGACTGCCTCTCTAATATCTATAACGGGAAAGAGTATCCTCTGAGGTATTTCGAGTCCACCCCCGATTCACGTGCCAGTGCAACACGTCCAGTTCGTGCCACCTGTTCAAGAAAAGACCAAATAAAGGAATAATATATAGATTATAATTTATAACAGCACTGAGTGAAAGCACAATATATTATTATTTTCATGTAGTTCTAAGTAAATAAAAGATACGTAGTAAATGCTAAGTTGCTAACTGTACCATTTTAGACAAAACCTTCCCGTTTGTTCCTACGAACACAGATACTTACAGACATGACTAACCGCATGTTTTTTACGATCTGGATATGTTTCTATAAGAATGTATGGAACTGGTATATAAGGTGCTTTGTTTATAGCATTACTCATAAATATAATACCAAGCTAAGAATCAGACCTCACAAATACCATACGGTTCCAACAGCCTTTGCAAAGCAACAATCTTATCCAAATCTCCTGTGAGCTGGAAAAGTGAAGACAATTGTTGAACTATATTGATTATATGATTAAATAAGGTTGCAGGCTCTTGAATTTCAAATCAAATTGTATATGGATTGATTGTTTCCTCCAAAGAAGCTAAGAGTATACACTCATATAATCTGTCAAACAAGCTAAGAGGGGTGTTTACCAAAACAACATCAACCTTATACATTGTTCCAACATTGATTACTACATCGGTCTCAAAAACTAGCATTGTTTGACCTGTACAACTTTTAAACTTTGGAAAGGCAAAATTATCACAAATAATACTCCCTCCGTTTCTTCAAAATTAATATTACTCCCACGGTCACTAAATTTAATATCCAATTTAAAGTTCAGTCACCATTTCAATAGTCAACTTAACTTCTTTTGATGTCAAATTTATGTACCAATTTTTATTCATATCTAAATTTGATTGTTGTGATTCAATAGAACTTGTACAGTTTCAAGCTATGTAAAGTGTAATTACTTTTTATTATTTAAAAACTTTAAGTACAACAATTTATATGCTATTACAGGAGAATTAATTTTATTATTAGTCAGACAACGTAAACAGTAGACTAATGCTTGTTAGTGACTAGTTTTTGGCAAATTCCTGAATCCTGGTTCCTGACAAACTAAGAAAAAGATTAGCTTTGTTATATCAAACTTAACTACTTTAGGAGACAAAAAGATCGAATCGAGACTTTTTTATTTGGGTGGGAGGGAGTGCTAAATGTTTCACAGGTGAGACGATACAAAATTACAAACACACCTCTAGAGTTATGGTATGGTCAGACACATCAACAGCTTTAGCTCTAAAAATGCTGGCAATATCGAGAACAGTACGACGGACGGCAGCATTTACAGCAATTTTAATCAACATGAGCTCTCGTTCCGCAAATGGCAACTGGGTTAGATCCTTGACCTGAAAAGGGTCCTCAGAAAATCTATTAGACATTTAACTAATCGACCAAATGGTTGAGTCCAATTAACTAGTCAAACACATGGACTTATACAACCCAGTCTCTTTGTACTGTTTCGATGCAGGACTATCTTAGCAGTCCAATGACCAAATTAATCCCTGCCTAGCCACTATCTACAAATTGATAAGCGAGATTGATTAATGTAACATGCACTCATGACTCACCTCACGCAATTCTACCAATTTACGAAGTTGCTGAGACAACTTGCTGATAGATTCATCAGTCCCAGGAACAACAGTAGTAATGCGGGAGAGTCCCTCAACTTCAGCATGCCCAACAGCTAAACTCTATTGAAGGAGAGAATAAATATAAACAAACAAAAAAAGAAGTGCAATATGTGTTAGGCGAGGATAAGATTAGAACATATACTTGGATATTATATCCACGTCTAGCAAAAACCCCTGTTACTATGTTGAGGACACCAGGAGAGTCATTCACAAGCAATGATAGTGTATGTGAACGTAGCCCACTAACCTGCATATAACCCCAACAGTAATGGTTATAGCAATAAGCGAAGTTTTTAACCAAAAACATAATGACAAATATGCATAAAATTACCCAAGATGAAAATTTTGATGGAATAATTACACTAATCTGTGTTCATGTCAACAAAAAGTAATGACAAATGGACTTTTAATAAACTTAGATCCTGACCATTATACAAATTGCTAAGCGAGATTGTGTTTTTAGTCCCTGCAAATTATTTCTTTCATCCTGTAATTTGCACTTTTTTCATTTTAGTCCCTCGCCGACTCTCACGCAACCTTTGTTTACCAAAAACAGACATGACCAGCGTGAACTATGTCTTACTTTTGTACGTTATTTCATTTTTAAAATACTCAAATTATACTCACATATAGCATATGTTAAAAGCATGATGATTACATTTTCTTAGACACACCTGACACCTCTAATAATGGCCACAAAAAAGTTGTGAAGTTTGTGGAAAATTTAGACAAGAGTTATGGGAGCAAGTTAATTTTTTTTTTTCAAAAAGGAAATTGTCTGAGAGTTAGATAGAGACTAAAAAAATGTCATACATTGCAGGGATGAAAGCCCAAAAAAAATATTCTATAAGGATTTAAACCAAAAGGTACAATATTTGCGTGGACAAAACATATTTAAGCCTAAATTATACATCTATTGCGAAGAAGTTGCATAGTGACTTTGAGAGGTGGGTAAAAGAATTAGATAAATGATACGGAAAATTTAGCTACCAACTACAAATAATAGTGATGCTTTTCAGCCAATAACTCAAGCACGATAAGAACAACTCCATTTCCTGATAGAAAACAAATCCAGCAAATCAAAAAGAAAGTTTGCATATGAGATGTGAGTTTCTGCATACATCATAATCGGTGAGAACACCCCAATGGGCATCAAGAACTTGACTGACTGAAGGTTCATCATCTGTCTCTACTGGATAAACATCTCCCTTCAAACAACAAGCACACATATCAGATATATACATTAGTCATCCGCAGCGTCTTGACTTGACACAGATGTTTAAATTGATTAGAAGGGAAAACTGTCACCCTCAAAGGAAGTATAATGGTAGGATTTAATCAATAAAAGCAGAGGAGCATACCCCAGTTGTAGAATCAGCATGTCCATCAAGAGAACCCAATGTTTTTCTTGAAATAGTGCCGATGGGCATCACTGCCTCGAGGTCAGGATATGAGGCTGCTGAAAACCGCCAAAAAGGAGCAGATTCCCCCATCTTCTCCCGTCTCAAGGCTATCTAAACACGATGATGCCTCATGTATACAGTTACTTGGAACGATGGGAATGACTGAGGATCACACAAAAATTAATTTTGATTCAAGTGTAAAGATAAGTGTACCTTCCCAGTCCTGGCAATTTCCCTAATTCCAAACTTACTCAAGTTCCTCTGAACTGCGATCATCTTTCCTGGATCTCCAGTTACCTGTACGCAACACAACCAATCTATTAAATGAGCCAAACAGTAGGGTATATGTATGCTCCAAAGCAACATGGGCGTGCTATTTGCCTATACCATCTTTTTTATGCCATAGTGCACAGAAATATGAAAATAGAGTATTCAGTCATCAGTATTTTATATGTTCAAAAGAAAGAAGAAAAAAATTGCTATGGAAATAGAGATACTGCTAGTCTGAGTCCGCCTGATATTGGACAGCTAATAGGATTCACAGAAAGTTTTAAGCAATAACAACAACAACAACCAAGCCTTAGTCCCAAAAGCTTTAAGCAATAAATCATCATCATTATCATTACCCCAGTGCCGCAAAGGCTCCCACCTACGGTGGGGTAAGGGGGGTCGGATGTACGCAGTCTTACCCTTGTACTAAAGCACAAAGAGACTGTTTCCGGATGACCCGTAGTGAAAATCACGTCCAAAATTGCATGGACTGACCACTACTTCATAACAAAGAAGCGCATACAGTTTAGTGAGCCATTTTGCTTTATTCCATCATATTCTCAACCCAAAAAACATTTTGCAATAAATGTTTTTAAAAAAATTGCCTCAAGGAAGTTGTTTCAGACAACAACTTTGAGTTCATAAGAAACAAGTTTCCTATACTGCAGGATATGAACGAATTACACAACTTCTGCCAAAAGTCCAAAGTGATATCTGTTAGTCTGTTACCCATCGGCCATCTGCTAATACACTTTTATCCAAGCTTCTCATACGAGAATGTCTGAAGTAGACTATTTGGTGCATATTTTGCTTTCTATTGAATTCTAAATTTCCCAGGAACTCAGCTACCATGCAGCATTTTATATTCTTTTTCTACTTAATAAATGAAATTTTACTTTTAGTGACAAAATGATCTTCATATTATACTAAATTGATTTACAACTACACTAGTGCCTTTTAACAGACCCTTGTTGTGAGGTACACTGTATGTGCTAGTTTAAGGAGCTCATGAAGCACTAGAAAGCATTTCACTTCTTTTAGCAGTGAAGCGCTGCAGTAATAACTAAACATAACTTTGGGCAATGAATTTTGTCAGTTTTTCTAGGTTGTGTAATCAAGGAAGCCAGAAACAAGTAAAGGCTCTTAGCACAATGTAGCACCAAAACTTTCAACAGTTATCATTATTGCAAGAGTTAACATCAATCACCTCAATAGTTAGTGAGTGGTCTGAAATATCCACAACTTTGGCCCTAAAGATGTCTACCAACCACATAACCTGGTGTATCCAAAAAAAAGAATAAGACCAGTTAGCTGACAGCGACCCCAATTAGAATATCCCACAGGAAAAAGTGAAGGGGTGATAAAGATCCTTTCCCCCACATTCAATAAAACTGATGTGACATTCTATAACACAACATTCCTACCTCAGCACGGAATTTTGGATCAGCATCAATTTTAATCAGCATCAGTTCGCGTTCAACTTGAGGCTCCTTTGATATATCTTCAACCTGGTGACAATTACTGACGCATTCTCGTCACATGACCAAGCAGGGCATAGCTGAAGGTTAACAAAGTTTTCTAGTAATAGGTTGGGTCTAATTAACCTGGAAAAATCAATGTTCATCAATTAAGTTGGTTTACTATAGGCCTAGTTTTCTAATAACTGTAATAAGCTGAACATCTTATTTCCTATTGGAATAGTAAGCCGACATTGTTCTCTTAATCAGTTCATCCTTGATATTTGAGTAAAACAGAAGAAATGATGCTGGGTTAACATCTCATTAAGCAGAAATAGAATGATTCATGAAATAATAATAACCTTTAATACATTGACCAGCTTCCGGAGCTGTTCCACAACGTTCTGTAATACAGTTTCAGTTCCAGACACAACTATGGTGAAGAGAGCCTTGTCCTTGTTCAGGCCAACAGCAAGGGTCTCAATGTTATAACCTCTCCTGGCAAACACCCCCGCGATCCTATTTATCATTCCGCTTTCATCTCCAACAAATACCGAGATCGTGTGGCGTCTCACTCTAGATCAAATTTCAGAGCATAACATCATTAAAAAATTGAAAATGAGTGCATGACACCAGGTGCAAAACAAATTTGTAAATATAACAACACTTTGTAGTTGCATTTTAGTAAAATGAATGGTTCCTACATAACTGTCATTCAAGATGAAAGTTATTGTTAAAAAACACTTCCTAAAATCAAGAGAGCATCAATTGATTAGTTTTCTGAACTGATGGAGTATGCAAGTTCTTCCCTTCATACTTTTATCACCTTCCACCTTTTTTACTCTCACCACTTTTCACTACCAGTTGCTTAAAATACTCCTTGCAGAGTGTCTTTAAAGCATACCATAGAGCAATTAAGTTTCCAATGTTATATTTCAAGCAAAGGGTACTCCACTTTCATTTCTAAACTCTCAAGCAAAAATATACAATGAAGTTTACTAAAAGTACAAACGAACTTTCAATGAGTCCTTCATGAAAAGAAAGAGAGAATAAAAACACACTTCTGCCGCTGGGTAGGGGTGGATGGAGCGGAAGTGGGGAAGGAGATTTCGCTCTGAGCATTGGGCTTCCCATCAGCGGCATTTGCGAAGACGACGGCGAGTTTTTTGGGCTTCCGGGCATGGATAATCGGGCTTGCCGTGAAGAGGCCTATCGTTGTTGAGAAACTGCGATAATCGCATGGTGGTTTCAGGGCATGGAATGGGGCAAAGTGAGTTGAGAGAGCCGCCATTGAACCAGAGAAAAGGAGAACGAGTGATATAGCGTGGAAGTTATACGGAAGATGTCTTTTCTAGTCTTGAATTAATCCGGCAGTTGGGATGTTTAGGGGTGTCCCCAAATTCTCATTCTAGAGGATTTGAATGGAGGGTTGAGTTCCGTCAAAATTTAGGTGCGCACGATTTAAATTTCAATGGAATCCGAAATAAGAGTGTATTTTGGATTTCTATATACAAAAACAATTCATCACAATCTTGTAGACTCTTCACGGATATCAAAATACATGATCTTTTAAAATTCATCAAAGCCATAATCGGGGACACTTGCAATTAGACTGAAATTTGTTGATCTGACCTGGTTTGAACTGGTCGGGTCGAGTCGGGTCTGATTTAGTAAATACCTTATCTTTGCATATTTTATAGCTATCCAACTTTGATCTAATTTGGTCTTATCTGAACTGATCTAATCTAATCTAGTCTGATCTGCTCTGATATGAGATGGAAAAAAATCCAAATAAAAACATCCTTTTAAAATTAGTTAAGTAACTGTCGGGTTGCTTTTTAATTTTTGAATTAAAATTGATGCTTAGAACCCCGAGTTAGAAGCTTGACACACGGTGCAATGCTACGATAACCATTTTAATCACCTTCAAAATTGATTATTAATATCCATTTGTTTGTTGTCATGCTACAAAAATTGTTTTTATATAAAAAATGGTACTACTACACGTTTGGTTTTATAAATCATGTATGACCTATTTATAAGATGTTCTCTTCACCTGATATGAATATTTCTGATCTGAATTTACTAGATTTTCACCCGTGCGATGCACGGGCCATAAAAAACTCAAATGTATGAAAAACATAAAATAAAAATATGAAAACATTATATTTAAAATATATTTTATTAATAAAAAAAGTTATATAAAAAACAGCTAAAATTACCTCTACAACAACATCAGGACGGAGCTCACTATAATGATTTAAATAATGATCATGTCCTCTAATTAACAATGCACAATTTTGACGTAGTCTAAACACCGTTTTCATATCCACGAATGTCATATTTAGGTTTTTAGACTCCTTAGCACTACAAATGGTCTTAGATCATATCGTGAAAGTGTGGGGTCTTAATTAGTGATTTTTTTCTATATTAGTGAGTTTTGTAGTTTGATCTAGTTAAATATGATCCCGTTTTTGAACATTTTTTGTACGAATTATTTACACCAATAATAATGATTTTTTTAAATTAAAGGTGATCCCGATTAAAAAAACAGGGTGAGCCGGGGCAGGGTATAACCTCTATTCTTCCATGGTCTAGACTGATATGTTTTATGTCTATACTCCATCGTCCTTCTAAGATTGTCATGTTTTTGTTTTTCAATTATGTAACCCATATCTTAAAACATGTAATTCGTTTAGGATTTTGGGACCTAAATAAGGTGCCCATTTATGTAATACGGAGTACTTCATAATTAATTCAGATTAGGAAATGTAGGCTTCAGAGCGAATCCAACCAAAATCCAGGTATAATCCTACTCGATCTCTTGCTTATTTGTATCTGTAAACATAAACCTGTTTCTAATTTTATAAACTATAAACTTTAATTTAACTGTTTGATTTTTAAAGTTTTTGAATATATAATTTTTGTGAATCATTGGGACATACATAAAATTGGAAAGAATTGTTGTTTATCGTATTTACTTGGAAACCAATGATTTTATAATAAAATGGCACTTAATGAAGCAACATTTTTATTTATTTAATATGGTTATGCCATATACGCAATACATTTTAATAGAGCCCTCAACTTGTGCTCTATTTACAAAATTAAGAATCTCAGCATGTGCTATATACACATTGTTTTAATTCTTTCCATGTTCTTGCATACCGCTCTCCTTGTAAAATTCCTTCGGGCCTTCTGTTTTTTTAATTGCTTCATCACCATGAATGCAATCTCCAGTATTTATCCTGAATAAACTCAATCCACAAAACACATCCGAAAAAACAGAACAATAAAAATTCTAGATATTAAAAACATAGAAATTAAAACATATATTGGCTTCAAAACTAAAAATAAAATGATTGTACATTAGGGTGAACATTCACTAATTACTTCTTCGTCATGGAAGACGACCTCTAGCCTCTCCCGCCGTTGGACTGAGGTAGAATCTCATATGCCCCCACAATTCTAATCCAAAGTACCAATATCTATCCGGTGTGTTCAATGTCTCGCATAAGAGACAACATGCCATTGTAGTGATTGTTGTTGGCCCATATTTATAGACCTTCTTTATGAAACCCTTGGTCAAACTTAAGAAACGTGTCCAGATCAACTTTGCATTTATTGCTTTGTACGTTGTATGGTTATCTATTTAGAAACAAATTTTAAAAAGAGATTCTCATTTATCGATTACTGAGCAACAACACTTCAAGGTAGTTGAACACTAATTAATGCACCGTACCATTTGCACCAGCATCACGTGATACCCGTTTTGCATAATCCGACCTGCATTTTATCTGGAGTTTTGGGCGGGAAAATGAGCAGGAAATCCATTTCGTTTTGTATAGAGTTAGATTAAGTTCTGATCCCATCTGTTCAGAATCTTTCTGATCTGATCTGAATCTTTCTGATCTGAATCTTTCTAATCTGACCTGATTTGAATATTTCTATAATTATGATTATAATTATTATAATTATAATTTAAAAAATATAAAATTATAATAATAATTATAAAAAAAAATAATTATATTTATAATAATTTTAATTAAAATTCAAATTAAAATAATTATAACTATTACACTAATTATAATTATAGCTATAGTTATAATTGTAATTATATTTTTAATTATAATTATTTCTATAATTATAATTATACTTATAAATATAATACGGAGTATGTATTTCTATAATTATAGTTATAATTGTAATTGTAATTGTAATTGTAATTGTAAGTATAATTATAATTATAATTATATAATTATAATTATAATTATAATTATAATTATAATTATAATTATAATTATAATAATAATTATATCGATGGATAGTGTACCCGGGGGTAACTCATCCGAGGTTTATTGCGGAGAATAACTTAGAGAGAAGTCAGAGCAAACAAGTAAGAGAGAGAGTCAAATGTATTAAATGAACTCATTCTGCTTTATAAGGTGAATAAGGGCTGCTATTTATAGCAGTCATAAATACGATGAGAGTACACGTGTCAACAATCTAACGGTCGATGGGTCACCTCAATCGGGGTGGCACTGGCATATGCATGTGCACCGCATTAAATGCGGTGGGTGGATGTGACGCCTAATTAAATGCGGTGGTTGCTTGTCTCTAAATGGAATCTTCAATGTTTGTGCTGTAGGCGAAGGCTCCCCTGTGGCCGAGGGTTCTATGTAGCCGAAGGCTACCCTCATGCCGAAGGCTCCCGATTTCGCTGCCTTCTCCCAGTAGCTTTGTACGTAGAAGATCAGTTATTTCCTGGAGTTTGGAGCCCTCACCAAGGAGGCCGAAGGCACTCACATGTGTATTTATGGGCTCCTTGATACTTGGGCCGCCATGTCTGGGCTTTGTGCGCTCTTTGGGCTTGATGAGCCTGAGAAGGACAAGTAGCAGTCTGTGGGTCGGGGGTCCCCGGGCCATATACTCGATCATATATAGTTATAATTATAATTAGGCTAAAGGGTCAAATAGGCCCCTGTACCTTTCCGGATTGTTCAATTTGCCCCCCGAACTCAAAAAAGCTCCAATTGGCACCCTGAACTCCATAAAAAGATTCAAATTTTACTTTTTGCAGGTCACAAGCCGGTCACCGCCACACCATCCGGTAGGGTGCCAACTGTGCATGTGACATGGCAACTTAGGAGGTCAAATAAGCCCCTGAACCCGACCGAAATTTTCAATTTAACCCCTCAACCCTTAAAAAAATTTTGACATTTTTTAGGGTTGAGGGGGTAAATTGAACGATTCGATCGGGTTCAGGGGCTTATTTGACCCCCTAAGTTGCCATGTCACATGCACAGTTGGCACCCTACCGAGTGACATGGCGGTGACCGGATTGAAACCTGCAAAAAGTGAAATCTGAATATTTTTATCGAGTTCAGGGTGCCAATTGGAGTTTTTTGGGTTGAGGGGGCAAATTGAGCAATCTGAAAGGGTACAAGGACCTATTTGACCCTTTAGCCTTATAATTATAATTATAATTATAATTATAATTATAGTTATAATTATAATTATAATTATAATTATAATTATAACTATAATTATAATTATAAATACTAAGTATAATAATAATAATAATATATTATTATTATTAATAATAATAATATATTACTCCCTCCGTCCCCCTGTTATTGTCCCATTGCGGTTTACGATGCTTGACCGACGATAAAGCAAACAGATCCCTGTCCACACTCAAATTATTTTTAGAAAAAGAAAATTACATATTCAGAAACTACATTAAAAGATTTACAAAGTCGCAAAAACCAGAATCAAATTTGATAAAAATTTGATACATAAAGTAAGAGATTAAGAGTGATTTGTGTTGACCAAGTGAATAGGAAATGAGACAATAACAGAGGGACGGAGGGAGTAATAATTATAATAAAAATAATAATAATAATAATAATTATATAATTACAATTATAATATAATTATAATTATATTATAATTATATAATTATAATTATAATTATAATTATAAATACTAAGTATAATAACAATAATTATAATAATAATGATAAACTATTAAAAATTATAATAATAATAGTAATTATAATAATAATATATTAATAATTATAATAATAATAATAATTATTATTATTGTAATTATATTAATAATAATAATTATCATAATAATATATTAATAATAATAATATTAATAATATTATTAATAATAATTATTATTATAATTATATTTATAAGTATAATTATAATTATAAATACTAAGTATAGAAATAATATTTCTAATAATAATATAATAATAATTATTATTATTATAATTATTGTTATTAAAATAGTAATAATAATAGTAATAATAATAGTAATAATAAGAAAAATAATAAGAGTAATAATAATAGTAATAATAATAATAATAATAATAATAATAATAATATAAATAATAATAATAATAATAATGATGATG